GGAAGTAGTTGCTTTCAGGTTGGTGAAGGTCATGATGACTCCACCAAGGATCTATAAGAATGCTCCTTGTTTTCGAACGTACTCTGAAATAGTGTCTAGGGTTTGTTATAAAACTCCCCAGCAAAGTGAAATAAAGCCCAGAGAAGGCGTCAGGAGGAGGGGAACAATGGCGGGAAGACAGCGAGGGTTTGTGGAGCTGCTGGCAGGGTGGGTGTCACTCCTGTTCTGTGGTGTTGGCAACAGTGAATGGCTGGAGTCTGAGGTCAAAGGTTGACAGAGGTCGTACAGGCCACACTGAGGGGTGTGTGCTGCACTCAGCCGGGCGGACTTGTCCAGGGAAGTTCCCACCTAATGCCTCTCTATCAGACTCTGCCAAGCCAAGTCCTGATACAGGGGAGAGAGCCCTCCCTTTCCCAACTAGGGAATAAGGGGACCCCAAGCAGGGTTCACGTGCTCTATTCTTATCCTACAGGAAAATAAGCTGAGACTGGTCACGGGACATGGATTAGCGAGACAAAGGGTTAGCGTCCCAGTTAGGGACAGGGGATGCCAAGATGACAGACACAGCCACGCTTGTGTGGTGCCCAGGGTCTGGCTAGATTGCCAATGAAGAGCTAGGCTTCAATGATGCTACAGAGCCAGCCAGAAGGGTACATCTGAAACCATCTGGGCAGCACCCATAGAATCCGTATGTATGCTGTGTGGGCACTAGGCCACTGGCCAGGTGGATCTGGGGACGACTCCCACTTTAGGAAGTCCCTTCTAGCTTCTGTGAGGGTGACAGGTGGAGCACTGAATCAGAGGCTCTGGGAGACCTGCGGCATAGCCCTGTCAGTGAGGGCAAGAAGCATCTTAACCCACAGCCATGTCCACCAGCACCTCCCCCAGGGCTTTGAACCCACCAAAGCCACCTGGACTCTGAGTGACTCTGCCAGGGGCACAGGCCTGTGCAATCTCTTTCCCCTCTGCCCGTTATTCCTGACAGCCCTCCTCATCAAGGTGTACTCCTGGCTTAGAGCTTGGCCTACTGCTCATGTCCCAGCCATCTTGGCTCCTCTCTAGAGAGGCTGTTCCACCCCTCCCAAGGAGTGAAGGCCACGTGACTGCCTCTCTGTCCCACTTACGCTGCCCTGGATGTCTCTGTTTGCCAGACTCTGGTCCAGCTGGGTCAGAGTGAGGTGAGGCTCCCCGCTCTGCCCTTGCAGGAGCGCGTCACCTGTCACAGCCTCACACATCTGTCTGCCCGCAGACTGTCTGCCAGAGGCCACTGCCATTGGGGTCAGAGTTCCTTACGCAGAAGGTCGGTGTCCAGCTTCCCAGGTTGCCCTCTCACAAGCTGATTGCAGAATCTGCAACCTCATGCCATGTCCAAGGCACTGTGTGCAGCGCTGGCATAGGTTCAAATCCTCTTTGGACCTTTCTGTGTCCCTCCATGTTATGGTTTAGAAGTGCCCCCACCTCACAAGTGCCCACGGGTTGAAGGCTTGCCTTCACGAGCAGACCCAGTCATTGAGAGGGAATTTGAATCATGAGCTCTGACATAATCAATAGATTAATCCATTGATGGATGACAGAAACATGGAGGTATGATGGAGGTCGACAGGGCCACGTTCCTAGGGGACTTTATCTTTCTCTGGCTCCCTCTCTGTCATCTCTCAGCTTCTTCAGCTACCATGCGGCGTGAGCAGGTTCTTCTTTTCCATCCTGGCGATTAGGATGTTCAGCTCTATGCAGGCCTAGAAATGCCCAAACCAGCTGATTGTGGGCTGAAACCTCTGAAACAAGGAGAAAAACAAACCCTTCAAAGTGTTTCCTATATTTGTCACAGTGATTTTTAAAAAGCCCGTGCAAAACACTCTACACCCCATGCCTTTGCCTGCAACTCTTCTTGCCTTCAAAAAAAACCAAGGAGGTTGTTAGCCTGTGAGGAAGCGGGTGTGTGACACACCGTTGCTACAGTGTGGCCACTGGGTGTCGCTGTTTCCGAGGGGAGCTCACATTGTCTATCTCCTACAGTTCCTGGCTGAGAGCTCCTTAGGTAGGTGAGTTCAAGCACAGGCTTCTGAGTCTCATGATCTCCCAAGCGTCCCTTTGAGCCCTCCTGTCTTGGGGGGCTGCACTGGGCACTCTGGCCATCCCAGGACCCCTGCAGATGTGGGTGCCGGACGGGTGCCTGCTATGTTGAGGCCATAGTCCCCTGGCACAGATCATTGTATTTCTCGGGACTTACCTGGCTGTGAGGACAGGATGTGCACATCTTTTAATTGGAGAGAACAGTTCACTCACAGCTGTGACCTATTACAAGGAAAGGGTCCAAAGTTCAAGCCGAAGCGGAAAGGCGGCACTAGGACCCGGGGAGCCTAGGAAGGTTAGGGGAACCCAAAGAGGGTCAGGGGACCCTAAGAGAAGCCCCAGAGAGCCTGAGGGCAGTCAGGGGATCCCAGGGAAGGTCAGAGGATCCCAGGGAGCATCAGGAAGTGTCAAGAGAATCTCAGGGGACCTAGGGAGGGTCAGGGATCCAAGGAAGGCCAGAGGGGAGCAGAAGGTAAGGAAGGATCAGAGGAACTCCAGGGAGACCAGGGGAGCCTAAAAAGGGACCAGGAGGCCAAAAGGATGCTGAGGGGACCCCCAGGAAGGCCAGGGAGGATAAGGAGAGTCCGAGAAATCCCATAGGAGACCAGAGGAACCTAGGGAGGTTTATGGGGTCCAGGGAAAGTCTGGAGAGTTCAGGGAAGGCCAGGGGACCCCAAAGAGAGTCAGGGGATCCCAGGAGAGGCTCGGGAGCTCTGAGGGCAATGGGTCCCCAGCATTTTCCCTCAAGTTGTATCTGTCAATCTTTCAAACTCCCTCAGATGCTGGTGGACAGCACCCAGCTCCAGAGGCATCGCTGCCCCCCCCCCATACACCATGTAGATCCCATGCAGGTTAAGACAGTGGATCTGATTTTCTAACTCTTGGACAGTGTCCCTCCGTGCTTCTAACGGCCGGGCACGGAAGGACTGTGGGGCCAGGATAGTAGTCTCAGGATCAGAAGCCTTCACAGCCACACAAAAAGTTTCGAGACCTTTCCACAGAAACCAGGGGAGGGGGGGAGTTGCTCCGGAGGCAAGGCCGGGCGTGGCAGGCACCTGCCTGGTTACTCAGCCTGCACTTCCCTGGCAGGCAGCCACAAGGCATTGTACATTCTTGCTGTGGTTGGATCTTGACATAGTACTCAGTAGGCTGTGAGAGTTGTGAGAGCTGGAATGAGGAATTGCTCCCACTCTTGTGTGCTCCCTGCCTCAGAATTTCACAACTCTTTGGGGGTTTATCCAGGAAAAGAACAGTGAGGGGCTGAGAAAGCAGCAGTGATGGCGGCCCTCAGAGGAGCAGCTAAATGTGAGCTGAGGAGTCCAGTTGAAGCAGGGAAAGCCTGGAGACAGCAGCCCTGAGGCTTGAGGACCCGGGCAGGGTGGAAGCTGGGATGGACACTTAAGAGGTGAGCGGCAGCACTGAGCTCGGTGCCTACAGGTACTGAGGACAAAACCCTAGGTAGATCAGACTTCAGCGCTGGCTAGTGTCCCCCGTGGCTGTGATGACAAATGCCAAGCTGTCCAAGATCCAGGTGTCTGCAGGCCCGTCTCTGGGGCCTCCAGGCTAGTGTCCTACCTGCTTCCTCCACTTTCTGTGACTGTAACTGTCCCAGGCTGTGGCTTCTGAGTTGTCACTGCATGATACAGTGGGTGTCTCTGACTCTCTCTATCTCTCTGTCTCTGTATCTCTCTCGGTCTCTCAGTCTCTCTGTGTGTGCATTTCTCTCTCTCTCTCTCTCTCTCTCTCTCTCTCTCTCTCTCTCTCTCTCTCTGTGTGTGTGTGTGTGTGTGTGTGTGTGTAAATTCCCTTTTCTTAAATGGTTAGCAGTCATGGTGTTAGGCCCACCCTAATGCAAAATGACCCATCTTACCACGTCTGTAAATACAAGGTCACCATCGGAAGCATCAGGGGTCAGGACTAGAACACATATTAGGAGGACATAACAACCATAACCACCAGGACTGGTGTGGACTCTGCCCATTTCCTGGGCAGTACTGGGATGCTGGCTACCGTGCGTGTGCAGGCAGGCTCTAGATGTGACTGGCTGAGGCAGCAAGCCCACCTGTCTGGAAGGTACCTTGGGACATTCACCTTCCGGTTTATGTCTATGTCACTGGCCAGAAATGAGTGATAGGCTGTCCTGTGGGGTGGGGGTGGAGACCTCCTAGACTTGTGGGGTCCAAACCTCCGAGACCACAGCAGGAGATCCGGCAAAAACCATCATCTGTAATCTCCTTGGCCACCGAAGCCTTTGGGACTTGAGTGTCTCCTCCTGCTTTAGAGCCAAGGCCACGCTGTCCAGATCTCAGACTGGAGGGCTGAAGTGACCCTTCATGGTCATCCCTACACTACCATGTCCAGGAGGCCAGCCCTATGTTCTCCAAGCCCATAATGAGCCTTTCACAGTCCCTGAGGTGGGAGATTTGGGAGGGGCTTGAAGATGGGGTTGAGGAACCCCAACTCTACCCAGTTAGGCTGTGCCACACCCATGAAAACATGCCTAGACCAGTAAGACCAGGAGAGGAACACTGGTGGCCTCCTGGAAACCCCCTTAACAGCCCAGCGCCTGAGCTTCAGGTTTAGGGGTTGTACCAAATTCCTAAGCAGGACCCCTGCTCCTTGCCCAGGTCTATCAAGCTGTCAAGGGTGGCATGAGGAATGAGCCTTGTTTCAGGTTGATAGGGTCCAGGAGGGAGACCTGGTTCCTACTTTGAACCTGTGTTTGCCTTGTGACCCAAGACATCCCTTTGAAGACAGAGCATTGATGCAGATGTTGTCTGGAACCCAGATGTGCAAGACTTGTATAAGGTAGGATAGTGGGGTAAGAGAACATGGGTGGGAACAGGGCCCTGAATAAACAGTCCAGCCACAGGGCCTGGAGGGAGACAGGTTACGATAGACCACAGTCTCTTTTAAAGGTCTAAGCTGTCTTTTAGCAATTTTTATTTTTATTTTTTTAGAATTTTACGTATAAATACTGTGTTTACATTATTCCACCTCCTCCCTCTAACTCATCCCCTTGGGCCCCTGATGTCTACCCTGGGACCCTAAGTCAGGATGTGATACCGCTGTTCAGAAAAGAAGTCCAGATTGGTGTTTCCTTTTCCTAACTGGATTTCAGGTCTTCCGCCGTCCTCTCTCCCATGCTGAGTCTGGCATGTGTGTCCACATTTCATGTCTGAGTGCCTTGTGTCCTGGGCCCAAGGACAGGTGAAGAAACTGTGCCATGCTCCACAGGTGGTCAGGACATTGGCCTGTGGTACTTATCACCACCCACCAAAACAGACACCCAGGTCCGGCGGTCTCATTATGGGCTGCTTGGTGGGACTGTTTCTGGAGACATGCACCTGACAAAGACCAATGTCTGCCATGCAGATGCCCCTGGCCTGTGGAGGGCAGCTTGAGTTCGGACCCTCGCCCTCTGCAGAACCGCTCAGCCGTCGGCTGGCTAATAGACACGGTTAGTTCTCCCCTCCAGCTAAAGCTGGAGAGGGAATAAGGGAGAAATTGGGGGAGGAGAGAAAGGATGGATTTGATCAAAGCACATTACATTTGTGTATAAAATCCTCAAATAATAAAAGTCACTCCTTTAGATTAGAAAGGTCAATAAATCTTTAAAAGACTCTAAAGACAAAATGTTGTGTGTTCTTTGCTTTTTATGTGTTGATAACTAAATATTGTTGATTGCAGACGTACATTTATACTGGCTGTCAGGGAGATGAACTCTTTGCTCTCAGTTGTCACTCCAGCCTGGATGCCACAGAACAGTGCCTCTTAGAGCTGTTGACAGGAGCGAGCAGCCTGGAAGAGAAGTAAGGGACCCCACCTCAGGAGCAGGCGACATTATAGCTTGTGTGGCATGGAGCGCGCTCCTTCAGCACACAAGTTCTGGACCTGCAGGCCAGAGCAGCTGTCTTCCCTGTTTCAGACTGTGGTGTGGCGTGACCCACCGGGGACTCTGTTTGGAGAGCTAGGAGCCTGCTGGGACCCCTCGGCCACCCAGGTTCCAATGGGGATCTGACACACCCACCCTTGGACACACTTCTGGCTCCCATCTGACACACCAACTCCAGAATGCCTCTTCCAGCTTGACGTGGAGGTTGGAGGCGCCAGGCCCAGGTGGCCTTTGTCTCCAGGGAAACCGAGGTCGTTACCTGGCCTGATGTTTGTCGTTGTCAGGGCCCCAGCTCCCAATCAGTGTGAGGCCCGTGGCAACGCCCTCCCGGGTTGCAACAGCTCCTCTGGCTGCTAGCTCTGTCGGCACAGGTGAGCCTGCTTTGGCCCGGAGCAAAGTGCAGACCTTCCTGACTCAAGATGGGCTGCACCCACACCCCTCAGAGTGGCCCTTCACTTTCTGTACCTCCCACGAGCCGTACTGGGCACACAGAGCTACAGAGTGCCTGTGAGGAAGTCCTCACAGGTGGTAAATGCACCGTGTCACACTTACGCACATGGCCTGAAGGAGGTGCCCTTGGCCTGAAGAAGGTCATCCAAAAGCGTGCAGAAGTTCCAGTAAAGGACAGTTCCCAGAATTCCAAGAGGGAGCAGAGCCAAGAAGGGGGACAAACATCCCAGGCAGGAAGACCACGGTGTTAGGCGCTCAGACGTATCTGCTAGATGGGCAGACGAGAATGTGAGGAAAGGAAAGAGAGAAAGCCACCCATGACCCAAAGAGCTAGCAAAAGACAATGGTCCAGAAAAACCTCTGGGATTAGGGCTTGATGGACCAGGGAGGGGCCCTGGAGGCAAGAGGAGGCTCAGAGACAAGGAGGCTACAGCAAGGTTGAGCTGAGCCGGAGGGCTGTCCCTGAGGAAGCAGGGCTGCTCCAAGGGCAGAAGGTCCTCAGCTATATTCCCGAGTCTAGGGGCTTGGTGGTGACACCTTGAGGACACTTGGAATGAAGGAAGGGGATGACCTGGGCCTTGGAAGCTTGGTCCTCTAAGGTCTGGGCAGGCTGAGCACAGAATGAACCTGATGCCTGACTGGTCAGCCCTGTACCCTGTGCTCTGTCCAGCTCAGAGCAGGTCCCTGGGTCACCGCTGTTTCCCAGACACCGCGCTGGCTCCTGTTGTGTTTGGATTCATGTGACCTCAACTGTCAAAGCCCAGGGTTGCCCTGTCAGAGGGGCCTCAGGTCCTATGAGGCTACAGCCTGGCCCCTGAGCACCATGAAGAAATAATCACTGCCGTCAGCAAACCTCGTCTTCAGAGGACGGCATCCACACCCCACCTCCTCTCATGCTGGGTGACGGGGGTGGGGCCTTACCAAAGCAGGGAGGGGGGATTATGAAGCCTCTATACTTACCAGGACCCTAAGTTTAGGCTGGCTCCTCCTCTTTAGGAACCCGAGTTTTCTTTTTTCTTTTTCTTTGTTATTGTTGTTTTGTTGTTGTTATTGAGACAGGGTTTCTCTGTGTAGCTTTGGAGCCTGTCCTGGAACTCACTCTGTAGACCAGGCTGGCCTTGAACTCACAGAGATCCACCTGCCTCTGCCTCCCAAGTGCTGGGATTAAAGGCATACGCCACCACTACCCGGCCCCGAGTTTTCGTTCATTCTTTCTGAATGTTGACCTGGCAAGCAGAGAGAGCTCTGTGAGAGCTGGTTGGTTATGAGTGTGAACTTGACTCAAGAGATTTCTGACGGGGTGGTGGTGGGGGGGCGGGAATCCCTATGTCCAAAAGATCAGAACTCAGCATGTTCACAGCAGGTGAGCTGGAGGCTATGTGAGTGTAAGAATGAGTTTGAATTGATGTGTGTGTAAAAGCTGGTGTGAATATAGAAGTTAACATGCTTGTGTATGAGAGAAATGTGTGGTTGTGCAAGTGCCTGAGTGTGAGAGTTAGAGAGAGTTGGCACATATGCAAGAGTGTGAGAATTTGTATATGAATGTGTGGAACATATATGAGTCAGTGCATCAGTGTGAGGGGTGTGTGTGTGAGTTCTGTGAGTGTAACTCGAGTGAGTCTGTGGTGTGTGTGTGTGTGTGTGTGTGTGTGTGTGTGTGTGTGTTTGAGTTCTGTGAGTGTGACTTGAGTGAGTCTGTGTGTGATCATGAGTGTGAGAGTTAATGTGTGAATGTGAGTATGACCTGTGAGAGGGTATAGTCATGTGGGTAACTGCATGAAGGGGATATTGAGGGGCGCCAGTCTCCATTCAGTGTCTCAGTGAGTGCATGAAGTGAGGTGGAGGTCTCCTTGTCTCCATGCAGGCTCTCAGTGAGGGAGGATGTGGTGAAATCTCCCCCCATACTTACATATACATTTGCTGAAATGCACCTGCCCATCTGCCAAGCCAGGGTCAGCAAGCTACAGTCTCTGGGCCCCATACCCTGCTTTGGGAATGTGAATGAAGCATACACACACACACACACACACACACACACACACACACACACACACACACACACACACATTCTTGACAAAGACATTCCTTTACCAGAAGACAGAATATGAACAAAACATTGTAGTCAGGACATGGTAAGATTCTGTAAATAGTTGTTTTTTTTTCCCTTCCTCTCTAACCTCTGAGAGTCCATGGACAGATTTGCCCACCAATATAAATATATATCTGCAATGAACCATTTTTAGTTATCAACATATGAAAAACAAAACCATGTGATGTTTTGTCTCTGAAATCTTTTAAAAAGATTTATTGATTGATTTTTCTGACCTAAGGAGTGACTCTTTTTAATTACTTGAGAATTTTCTACATGTGTGTAATGTGTTTTGACCAAATCCGCCCCTTCCTCTCCCCTCCAATTCAATTTCTCCCTTACCCCCTCCACTTTTTCATACCCAACTTCATGTGCTCTCTTTTTTTTTTCAAGCCAGCCAAATTTCCAGCGTGAACAGGGCAGGAGCTCACAAATCCCACCCCATCTGAGGAGTTATTGGTGATTGATAATGGAGGGAGAGACAGTTGGTTTTCTTCATGCCCCGAGGCTAACCCATGTTGCAGAGGGTAGTCCTACACCATGCACACACAAGCAGCACCAATGAATGAGGCTGTATTGGAATGCAGCCACATCCACCCTGGCTGCTATGGGACCCACTGCTTAGGCGGGTGGTTGCAATGTTTTGGTCTTACAGGCCTCAGGCACTTGCTCTCTGACTCTTGAAGAAACTTCCAGACCCCTGGCTGGGCTGCACGGGGAACCGGGGAGCAGGTGGGATACTGGTCATACTGCTGTTCTTCGACAGGACACCAGAGGTTCCCCACCCCCTGCAGAAAGTTCAACATCTCCACTGTCCTGTCCATCCTGACAGAAGGACAAACATTGATCAGGGTTAAATAGACAATAAAAGGCCAGGAGCAACAGGGACTCACCAACCAGACCTCACCTCTGAGTCCAGCGCAGAGCTAGTTGGGAAATGTTCTGGATGTTGACCAAGACCAGTGTGACGCTGGGCACCAGAGCAGCAGGTTGGGTGCGGACCATGGGCTCCCACCAGCTGCTGGTGCCACCACCAGAGGCTCTGAGCAAGCCCCTGTCAGTTCCTAAGCGGCTCCTGTTGGGCCCAGGGCCGTCCGACCTGACTCCAAGAGTGCTGGCGGCCGGAGGGCTGAGGATGATTGGCCACATGCAAAAAGAGATGTTTCAGGTAGGCCTTGGTGGCAACGGCCTCTGTTTTAGGGGTGGTGATCGCTAGGTGGCGGGCAGGGCAAAGGGTCTCACCTGTGTGCCCCTTGTCTAGATCATGGATGAGATCAAGCAAGGCATTCAGTACGTGTTCCAGACCAGGAACCCCCTCACGCTGGTTGTCAGCGGCTCTGGACACTGTGCCATGGAGACTGCCCTGTTCAACCTCCTAGAGCCTGGGGACTCCTTTCTAGTTGGAGTCAATGGCATCTGGGGGATGCGGGCTGCTGAGATTGCTGAGCGCATTGGTAAGGGAGAGAGTGGCCTATGACACCGTGCCGTCCCTGTCCCCCACCCCCACCCCAATGTTATCTCTCCAAAGGCCTCCTGGGGGAATCCCGAAGCTATCTCCAACAGGTCAGACCTGGGGCATCCCGCTGGACACTCCTTCCTCTAGACCTAATGCCTCCACCTCCCCCAGCTGCCGCTTCCTCCAGGCAGGCACCAGGGGTTTCTCCCTGCCCCAGCAGATGACAGCAGCCTGGCCTTCCAGAGCTAGAGCATGATTGTTTCTGGAATGCACAGAAAAAGATCTGCAGGGACACCCCCTGTCTGAGCCCCAGCAGCTCCCCAGGGGCCTCAGGAAGACTGGAATTTCAGAGGCTTATTCCCTCCCCAAATCTCAGAGCCTTGTTCATCTGTAAAATGTGGGTCTAGGAACAGTTCTCCCTCCATAGTCTGAGGATGGAAGAGGGCAGGCATGCCCCCAGACTTCCTGGTAGACCCCGGCCTCTGCAAATGGCCTGCACGGTTCCCAAGTGCGTAGTCGCAGTGTTGATGGACGGCCAGAGAGAGCCCAGGAGGGTGTGCAGCTCTCAGTCACTCCATGTTAGGCCACCATTTTCCCTTCCTTCCTTCCTTCCTTCCTTCCTTCCTTCCTTCCTTCCTTCCTTCCTTCCTTCCTTCCTTCCTTCCTTTCTCTTTCTTTCTTTCTTTCTTTCTCTCTCTCTCTTTTCTTTCTTTGTTTCTGTCT